AAAAACTGTAATAAATAAATTAATAATAAATTAAAATATACAAAGTAGACATTCGTCGTTCAAATATGCTGAAAAATATACACACTAGAAAATGAGCGTTACTACAACGTATTGAAGAGAGGTAGTGATTACGGCGAATATTGAGTAATCACTAACTTACCTTGGAATCTTAAACGCCTTAACTACAAAAATTCATATTTTCAGTTTCATCTTGAGTACCGAGATAATTACTAAAAACCGGCCAAGTGCGAGTCGCACTCGCGCACGAAGGCTAAAAACGGCTCTTGTATGGGAGCCCCATTAAAATATTCTTTAATTCTGTAGTACCCGGAGAACCTCGAGCCGAGCTTTGCTCGGTTTTTTTTTTTTTTTTTTGGTAAATCGTGTATTTTGGAAATTACATTTAGATACAAATTACTGAGTAATGAAATATGCATAATGTTTTTCGATCTTACCGACGTAATAATAAGAAAATATGAACTGATGTTTTTCACAAAAGAAAGAACTTTAAAAAAAAGGGAAAAAAATAACAAAGTAACAAATCAACAAAAAATTAAAACTAAAGAAAGCAATGATCTGGAATCGAAAAAAAAGTAAAACAATAAATGTGTAAATGATCGTGACGCGAACCACGGCCGTCTGTTTTGGGGCCGCCCGATTACCGACCAAGCTATTATGACATTTTCTCTTGCGGCGAAATTTACCGTCATATTCGAATTATATTTTTCATTCCCTGAAAACAGGGATAAAATGACATTTTCTAAAAATGAAACCTAGTCAGTTCGATTTTTCGCCCCCGAATCTACGCACATACTAAATTTCATGAATATCGCTGGAGCCGTTTCCGAGATTCCGATTATATATACATATATACAAGAATTGCTCGTTTAAAGGATAAGATTTAGTATTTGCTGTTTTAGCGGCAACAAAAATACATCATCTGTGAAAATTTTAACTGTCTAACTATCCCGTTTCATGACATACAGCCTGATGACAGACAGACAGACAGACAGACAGCGGAGTTTTACCCTTTGGTTAGTAACAGGGTCCCGATTTACTCTTGGGGTATGGAACCCTAAAAATAAATTTAATCATAAACGTACGTAGTAATCTCATACCAGCGGCGATTAAGCCGTAGATGGATAACGCTTTTGTTTTCATAAAAATATAATCTTGGAAAACATCAAAACAGAACGGAGATAATCATGCCATCCAATTTTCAAATATACAATAGTGGCAGCCCTATAAGCGAAAATGTTGGATGGCTCAATTCCACAGAACGCCTCTACCAATATGCTTTCCGTGGGAAATATTTCATATTTTCTTTTCACTTATACGAATATGCTCTGTAAACTTTATACAATCTTTTTACGAGAAGAAAAATATTAAAATGTACCGAGGTTATTTTAATTAAATTTCTTTTAACATTTTTTAATAAGAAATAATCTTAAATTATTAAAAAGGCAACATAGATTTACGTTTATATGTAACTTTGATCACTTTTTCTTGATTATTTTCTTATGTTGAGTATCATGGGCTCACAGCAACGAAAGAGAAATGTAAACTGTTTGCCCGCTGCCCAATACGACGGGAAAGGCAGACTGATTATATGACAAGGTGGCAAACGAGCTATCGGTTTACCTGATGTTAAGGGATACCGTCGCCTATTGACATTTGCAACACCCGTAGAGTTGAAGATACGTTGTCAAATTTTAATAAATTCACCAGACGAAACGTAGAATTATAAAACATCCACCACACGCCTGTCTTTGTGTGGTGGTGGTACTTTCCCTGACAGGCCTGCCCATTCTTGCAACAGAAGGAATATTTGAACTGGGTCAGAAATCTGTTTTTCTGTGAATGTTGTTTTTGTACGGTTAACCTTTTCAAATTGACTTGATTTACGATGTTAATTACTTGGCCAGAATAGTCCCATCGGGTAGAATATTTAGCCTGTGCCTAAAGTTTGACACGGACACCTTGAAAGAGTAAAATTTGAGCATCTATCTCATCACAAATTCAAGTCCATTGTGAAAAGAATATTCATATTTTTTTTTATTTTTGTAGTAAATAAAATTTAACTAGTTGATTGATGGTGGTAATCACTTACCATAATTTGAACCACATAACTCAGTTTTGAAATGAAAAAAAAACTGGGAAACAGGTAGAAGTTATTTGATATCGTGCAACTAGGGAATATAGCATTCTCATGAGCCTTACGAGTAAGTATCCAGTTTGAAATCAAATTGTAAAGATTAAAATAAGAGTCGCCAATAGGCACTATTGGCTAATGATATTTATTAAACTTAAAGAAAAATTGTTACTAATCAAGATACTGCTTTGATATTAAGATGCTTCTATTTACTGACTGACCTAAATGGCTGGAAAGGATAGCTTATATATTAGTTTAGTACACCGTAATTAATAACTTAATAACTTGGATTTCAATCAGGCCTATGTTCAGACGATGATGACGAACTCTTACTTCATCATCATCGTCATCATTTCAGCATTAGATTCCATTTAATTCCACCTCAAATGGGCGTGTACCAGTGCTATGGACAAAAAGGGGGGCAAATCCCGTCGCGAATAACGACTCATCAATAAAATAATAGTGATACGTTGGGAAGGATGCAATTCTCGCTCCAGTGGCACGGAAACCTTCGCATAAGATCTATTGAAACAAGAGACGAGCGAACCGCATGTGCTAGGGCTGACATATAGGCGACAATTTATAAAAAAAAACTGTGCATTATTGTGGAGTTTACTTAATACAAAAATTTTAATTGACTCTTTGTTATTTATTAGACAGAAAGATGACATGGCCTATTCTGCATTTAGTAGAAACTTGTTTGCGATATGATTTTTAGGGTTCCGCACCCAAAGGGTAAAACGGGACCCTATAACTAAGACTCCGCTGTCTGGCCGTTATGCCACAAGGCTGTATCTTATGAACCGTGATAGTTAAACAGTTAAATTTTTTTTATTTTTGCCGCTATAACAACAAATATACTAAAAACAGATTAAAAAAATATTTAAGTGGGATCAACAGACATGATTTTTTGCCGTTTTCATAGATAATGGTACGGAACCCTTTGTGCGCGAGTCCGTCTTGCGCTTGTTAGTTATTTTACCCGCTATTGTCACTGATGACAAGTTTACAAACAATAAATTCATATTCAAAGTTTACATAGAGAACTTAATTTAAAGTATTGCTGAAACTATTCCTCTATCATCACTCATAACGTTATTCAAAACTACTTGCAATTTCGTTATCTGAAGTTATGGGTGTATTGCCTATCACCAGCTTTATAGGTTCCCTGAATATCTTGGGTCTTCCAAATATATGTATCTTGGGTCTTCCAGATATATGTTATTTATAAAAGAGAGCCCTACCAGTCTTCCAGAAGTAACGATATTTTACTATCTTTTAACTTAAACTGGCTAAAGTTTGATTTATAATTTACGTATTTTTTTCTTTTACCTTTTACACATTTATCCTTAAGCGTGCCAACTTTTCGATTCATCTGCATCGGAATTCTCCTAACGAAACTTCTGTAAACGTCCGGTAAAGTTCGCCTCCGCTTTGTGCATCGAAATACAATGATGAGGAAATTATTCCGTAACTGCACAATGCGGCCATGTGAAAACTGCGATTCACGGCAGTTGCCCCAGTTTTCGAGGATTATGCAAAATTCTAACTTAACTGCACTCCTACTACCGCTGTATAGCTAACCATATAGCTACTGCTATGCTGAAGATGGCCCTCAAACGCTTCCCTGTCTTATACCTATTCGGATACATTAGCGACAAAATTATTTTGGTTCTTTTTTTCTTTCATCATCTCTTCTTTCTTTATTTTTTATTTTGTATTGTTTTTTCTTTCACCATCTCTCTTCTTTCTTTACTTTTTATTGTACACATAAAATCACAGTTACAAATGAAGGATTAAAATGACTTAAAGATTATGAGCCTAGACACATGATACATGGATAAAACTAGTTGTAACCTATTCAACTTCTATTTTCCACCTGTTCATCTTAAACATCTTTCTTGCTGGAATATTTTACATATTGATATTTCTTTGTTTTACCTGGATAATGACAAACATCCTAAACTCAAATCTAAATTAAATATTTTTGAATTATGGTTTACGGGTTTATTTTAATGTGTGTATATTCCCGATTAAAAAAAAAATTTTAACAAAAAAAGCCGAGTACAAGCAGTAAATTAAAAAGTAAAAATTATTGTATTGATTTAGTTAATCGGAAATAATTATTTAATAATTTCAATTTTGAAGGCAGATTTCTAGGTCAGGTCTAAACATTATCGATGCGATCGCATGGATATTTCGACTAGATCTATCACTTGCTATTCATTTACCATCAAATAAGAACTATATTATAAACTTACATTCCCCTTTTTACATAGGCGCATGCACTTTTACACCTGCCTCAAAATTATCATTTTATGAATCGCGACTGACACTCGCAAGTTCCAAAATGACACTTGACGAGCTTGTTCTTTGTGAAAAATCCTTTAAAGTTACATTAGCAAGCAATTCCAAAGCTCGACACCGAGTGATATTCAGCTAGCGATTTTTCCCAGCTGAAATTTCGCCTTCGCATAGACGCTACAACCTTGCCTTTATTTTTCGCGAAAATAATTCATAAAACTTGACGCGTTAAGTGGAATGGCCTTCCCGCTTCCCACGCCACGTAAATTTTGTATGTCTTCTACGGCACACCAAAATGGTTTGTATTCAAGGCGGTTTGTATCTTTTTGATAAATCGTCGAACTATAACATTGTCCGTGGGAGAAATTTGAGAATATTCTAATTTACGGGGTGATTGATACATGGGTTTTAGAGGATCTAAGGCAAAAAATGGTTATAATGCTTCGGTCAAATGGGCAAAGATAAAAAAGGAAAAATATTAATCTTTCAATAGAGGCGTAGTGCAAGGGTCAGTATTAGAGCCAACATTGTGCTCGATTTATACATGCGATTGAGTATAAACAACAGTAGGTAGTACAAACACCTAATGCAATCAACGATATTAGGCAATGGTCCACTACAGTTCTTTCTTTCACTAACTTACCGGTTGGCTGGTAGAAAATGCCTCATGGCATTAAGCCCGCCGTTTGTACCAATTAGTACAATAAAGTGTTCAAATATAAATAAATAAAAATACCAAATAGCAGGAGGCCATAAAAATCGACGCACATTATTTTTAGATGGGGTACCTATACAGAAATCGATTGAGGAGAAATTATTAAGAGTAACATCAGACGTTGCACCATATTTTGAGCCGTGCCTCGGTATAAACACCTCTGAGACGCACATTTCTTGCCAAGGCAACGCAGCACTAACGCAACTTGTCACTCAAAATATGACGCCGGTGCGTTGTGATCGTCATTTCCTTAAGTCTGCCTATCTGTTATTACTAGTGGACGCCGAGTGATCGAAATTCGACCAAGTTTGAATAATATTAATCTTTTCCCAAATACAATACACAATAAACAAAGAGTATATATGCGTTTGCGTATCAAATACATTGAAGTGTGTAGAGTATCGGCCTATACATGTCCCACGGCTGGGCAAAGGCATCCTCTATACAGAGGGTATATAGTATATAGTCCACCACGCGGCCCTACTGCGGATTGGCGGACTTCTTCATATCTTCGAAATATGTTTTATTTTGTTATTATTTCGAAAGTATGCAGGTTTCCTCACGATGTTCTCCTTCACCACTGAGCACGTGATAATTTAACACTTAAAATTGACAATTTCATTGGTGCTAGCACCGGGGATTGAACTCAGGTTGCTCGAGTATATTAAATTAAAGGCGAGCGCCCGAACACTGAACTATCACGGCTCTCTATTGATTTAATGTATTTTTATGCATAATAATTTAAAATAAATTCACATTCTGCACTTCTTCTATATATAAACTATAAGTGTGTGAAATTTCATACTCCTCCGTCCGCGCAATTTTCGTGAAAAAGGGTACAAAGAGTTTGCTTCACGTAAAAATATATAGTAATTTCTGGGCCCAATCTTCGTTACAATTCAAATCATCATTATATTAACTGGTCTTCCATTTTTATGATGAACATATAACATTATATTTTTTTACGTAAGACTACTTCCATTATAAGTCCTAATAATTTGTAATTATTATTCATTTACCTTTCAGGCAGCCCAAACTCTAATGGTTTTCTTTCTTTTTCAGGTATGAGATAATCACAATACTAGACGAACATGTATTAAGTACCAATTCAAGGCGACGTAAGTATTTACTTAGTAACCGTATGTATACAATATAATATGAAATATACAAGCGAAAGCGACCGATGATATAGAACGTATAATAAGGAAAGAGATAGCAGTCTATTGAGTTGCAATCTAGTTACACCAATCGGTGTAATTTGAATGCCTCAGTTTCGGTATTCTAGTGTCATATCTACCTCGTATCTGTATATAATATAATCACCAATAGGTGACTCGCTGACCGGTTTAGAAAAGAAGCCAAGTTGCTTCCCTTTTAGTAAAATAAAATACGCCGGCGACCAGTCATTATTAGTGCAAAGTCAAGTTGTTTGAATAACACTTAACTCTGTTATATTCTGCTACATTGTGTGAAAAAAATTCACAACACTCGTTGAAGAGCCTATATTTTTAATTGGGTCCTACTTTTCGCGTACACAATCGTCAACAGGTCTCGTCATGTAAAAAACATCATAAAAAGCAATAAGCATAAACGTATATTAATGGAGCATTAAACGAGGGCTCTTCAGTACAAGTCTTACGTTTCCACAAGGACCAAATGAAATCCCAGCAAAGTTGCAGCCAACTGATAGACCCTGTTGCAGTGAAATAAAGGTCGTATTTCAATAGCAATAATTCGCTAAGTGTAGAGTCGCGTAGCCTACGAATCATAAGAAGGGTGCTCCATACGAAGCAAAACAAACGCAAGCCCTGGGACAAAAGTCACCCCGAATAATACCAAGCGCTCCCTCCGCCTATCACACCGTTGACGAGTTTTCCTAAAATTTAAACGAAATTGATATGTCTTAATATTGTGCTACCCGACATGAAAGAAACCATTTTCTATAATAAAGCAAAGGGATGTGATTAAATTATACATAATAATTACGTACACATTATTATGTAGTATTTGATTTTTTAGATGAACTTAAAATATGTATTGAATAATAAGCAACGAAAGCACTTTTAAAGTTAGGATCTGAATAGACTTTCGCGGGAACAGAACACAAATAAATATAATTAAATATGTTGAAGAAAAATATTTGACGAAACAATCACAATAACACATCGCAAAATTACAGAGAATTATTTAACCTCTCAAATAATTTACACAATTATAATAAAGTTACTCAGCATTTGATATTTAGATTTGTGCAAGAAGTTTTGGAGAAATAAGTACAGTAAAAATACAGTTAGTCTTCGTAGGAGTTTCTTGGGGAAAGTCCTTATTTATTTCCTGAAAACATTTGTACAAGTGTTATTCATAGGTTTTTTACTCGAAGGATAATAATTTTGAAAGTCTAAAATATAATAAATAAACCAGTTAAATTAGTATCTTACTCGTACTTATGATATATAACTCTTTAACACTACTGAGGTTCAGTATTGTTTTTACACTATTTATTAATCTACTTTGTAATAGTGTATATGCTGCGTGCATGTACACTATTACAAAGTTTGTTGGTTTGTATGTAGCGTTTGATTACACTTTATCATTACCTCGGCCTGGTGTCGGTGAAAAACTCATTGCCGTGGAAAAAAGGAGTTTTTTTTTAATGAGAGAAAGTGGCAAACGAGCTGGCGGTTCACCTAATGTTAAGTGATAACCGCCGCCCATGGACATTCGCAACACCCGTAGGGTTGCAAATGTGTTGCCACCTATAAATAAAGTAGGCCCCAGCTACCTCACTCACCAGACGAAACGCAGAAGTGTAACACTTCTACTTTACGCCGGTCTTCTGTGAGGTCCTGGTGCTTACCCGGACGGACCTACCCATTCGCGCAACAGTAAACACTATTGCGTGGTCCTACCACAGTAATAATTGGTTTCTCCCTCAGGATCACATTATATGAAAGTATAAAATCTATATTTCACAACCTTTCGTAATACAAAAGTGACACTCTCACAAAAATAAAATTTTAAGAATCCAACTAGAGTGTTTCTAGCAAAAGTTTCATCTCCCAACTCATTAAATGGAATTAACAACTTTGTAGAAATACAGAATGGTTCTAACAAAAATATAAAAATGAGCCGTCACGGGACGCCTGGCAGATGTGAAACATCGACATTATTTTGTAAAAGTAATATGCAGAAAAGACCAGATTGTGATAGGAACTAAATATGTCATAATGATAAAATAAAATATTACGATTTTTTATCCAGATAACGAATAAATAGTCATATTTATTGAATAAACATTTATTTTCATTAAATACAAAAATTTACGAATTTATTTCAAATCGTGACTACTTAATTCGTTTAATCAGTGACTTCGGTAATACTTATGTCGATGTTGCCTCTGAGGACGGTATTACTGTGACAATTGGTCGATGGTAACTGAAGTATGTTACAAAAGTATTGGACATAACATGAAAATATGAAATATGAAATGATGTCATTTTTTTTTTATTAGGAGAAATGTACACAACAATCATCATCAATTCACTTCCATCTTCTAGTTTAACGTGTGAAGCACACATATCGCCAATAGATGTTTGGGACGCCTATAGATGTTTCACATCAAAACGTCATCATTACAACATCATATAGTATGGTATGAACTGCCTACTTCGGTGTCACACACTTCCAGTTCAATAGTACCGTGGCAAAGAGTAGGCCACTCAGTGAGATTGGTGTCAGCGACAGATTATTTATAGCCATTATTTATTTCCGCGGTGCGAATGGGCGGGTGGCACTTTCATCCCACAATTCGTATAAGTTTGAGAATATCGCATGTTTTAATTTTATCTCATCTCATTCATTCGTCTATCATTCTCCGCCTCAATATTTGTTTCCGATTTCGCAGGCTATGTCGATTATAGAATTCTAAGATGACATTTTTCCTTCTTAGGTGGTATACATTACTTGTCTTTTCTTCCATCTTTAAAAATCGTCAGATAAATTTTATTTATTAATTCAATTTAATAAGAGCTATCAATCAAGATAGAAAAACCTATTCATTAAATGAACCATAAATCTTAAGCGGTAAGTTATACAAAAAAGTTTATGGTAAACACAAGACGCGCAATTTTATTCTCTACAATAACGATTCCTACAACTTTTGTCCTACGAGTATAGTGCATAGTTTCCGAGATTTCGGACAAAATCAGTTTTTCGAGGTGGCGTCTGATGTTGTACTATTGGAATAGATTTTTTATAAACTTTTCAATTTCGCACTAAACGGCGGAATATATGAAACAATGTTTGTTAGCTAAATCCTTATTAATCGCTCTAAATATCACCGAGGCGTCGATGGCGAAACAAACTACAATTATACCGATCCCTCGGCGCTCGCTCGAAATTACCACTTTCCTACAGATGGAGACAAAGTTTTGCCAATAAAAATTAATGTGCCATAAGTAAATTTATAAACATACATATTATAATTCTAAATATAATGCCACAACAACATTCTGAATTAAATTAGCTATGATTACGCTACGGCACGTTTTGTCCGGTCTAGACAAGTTTGTAAAGAAAATTAAAACTAAAGTTACGCTATTTCTGAGCTTGTTGGCGAAATAGTGAAAAATATTTTCGTAATATTAAAGATTGTATTGTTAATGAAAAATTATACATTTTTAAGGTTCCGTACCCAAGACTCCGCTGTCTTTGTGTATCTCTGTGCGTCTATCACCAGGTATCTCATGAACCGTGATAGTAAGACAGTTGAAATTTTCACAGATACTAAATATTAAAGAACAGAATAAAAATAAATAAGTGGGGCTCCCATACAACAGACATGATTTTCATAGATAATCGTATGGAACACGCACTTGGCCGGTTTTTTTAGTTAATGAAAATTGATATATTTTATTAACATATAAGAGTATTGCAAACCTGCGAAATGCGTGAAGTCGACGGATTCAGCTGCCTCGGGTGGTGCCTCTGTTCAGCAGTGGAGTATAACAGGCTGATATGATAATGATGATGATTGTATGTATATTTCACTTTGAGAAATTACGTACATAAATATACATCAAATACGAATGCCATCACACTGATGTACACTGATGCACAAAATATTGCAGATATTTTTAATAACCACTTTATAGGTAATATTACAAAAGGCAACAGTAAACAAAATTTTCTTAAACAGATAGTAACGAATGACAAAACAATTTTTCTATATCCTACGGATTGTTATGAGGTTCGTAAAATAATAATGAATCTTATTAATAGTAAATCAGTAGGATACGACGAAATTTTAACTAAAATATTAAAAGCGCGTGCAAACAACATTTCTGAAATTTTAAGCTTTTTAATAAATTTATCATTTTGTAAAGGAATCTTTCCATCGAAGTTAAAACAAGTAATTGTAAAACCGCTTTTTAAGAAAGGTGACAAGGCAACAGTTAATAATTATAGACCAGTTACTCTTGTGCCTGTGTTATCAAAAATATTTGAAAAAGCTATGCTTAGTAGATTGACCTTATTCTTTGCAAAGCACAATATATTAAATCCGCAGCAGTTTGGATTTGTAAAGAAAAGTTCAACTACACTCGCATGCTTTCATGTTATTAAATTTGTCACAGAAAGCATATCTCAAAGGATACCTGTAGTAGCAGTACTATTAGACATGACTCAGGCTTTTGATCACATAGAACATGACATTTTAATTCAAAAATTAGAAAAGTATGGCATACGCGGTTAAGCAAATCGTTGGATAGGTAGTTATTTAAAGGACAGAAGGCAATGCACAGAAATCTGTAAGATGGTGCTTAAAAACAAACAACTACAAAAATCATCATATAGATCAGACTATAAAGTAATTAAATATGGTGTTCCGCAAGGTAGTATTTTAGGCCCCCTTTTATTTTTAATATATATCAATGACCTCCCTCAAGCTACGAAAGAAAAATGCAATCTTTTCGCCGATGACACAACCCTAGTAATAAAAGCTAATGACGAAAAAAATTTTAGTAATCAAATCAATGACTCTATTCTGTAGTGACGTAGTTAAATGGCTTGATATAAATAACCTCAATATTAATTTTGAGAAAACAAAACTAATACAATT